TAATTAAATTAAACTTGAATAATTTAATTATTTCATCAAGCATTGTTTAATTATGAAAAGTTATTTGTAAATATTTTATTTCTTTTAATTATTAGCTGCAACGCATACATATTACTAAATGCTTTGCAAATATTAAAAGAGTTCTTGTTTTAAAATATTGAAATATGTTGAAATTTCATTTGATTATTACCAAATATTTCATTTTAATTATTAAATTAATCTTTAAAGAAAATGACAAATACGTAATATATACTGTAATTGTGTTTCATACATATATACTGTAATAGTGTTTTATAATTTATTCAGAAAAAAAAATAAATAAAAAAAAGACGGCTTTGATTTATTATCTTTGCAAATCTTTCAAAATTTTCGTTTTAAAAATAGAAAAAAAAAAAACGAAAAAAGATTTCTTATATTTCTGAATTCTATATGAAATGATAGAATGTTTAATTGAAGCAATAATCTAATACTTGAAATTTTTTTCAATTTAAAATCTAACAAATCGTTCAATTGCAGCAAAGATTGTGAAAGTTTTTTATCATCGATTTTTCGATGAAATATTTATCACAAAAACATACGAAATTATTGATATGATTTTTTATAACTTTAATTAATTATAATAATATGATTACTTATCATTCCAGCATATGTCATTGATTATCCTACCTTTTTTTTTTCTACCTCACATGAACAACATAGAACAGAGATTTTTTTTTCTTTCATTTTAAATCACTTCATAATTCATATGATAATAATTATGACAAATTTTCAAGTTTGCTTCTTGACAAAAATAATGCAACACGTTGAAATTTCATTTTTGTCAATGAATTTTTGAAATGTTTTTTTTTTTTGGATTTATAATTTGACCCGAAGAATTTCCCAGATAATATCATGCTAAAAATGTTTTATCGATCAACATTTTATTTTAAGTTCGTTATCACGTAAAAGTTCAATTATTCAGAGTATAAATATACCATGTATTAGCATATTTAATGATATTAGATAATTATTAGGTTCGAAATGTTCCAAAATAATTTGAAAGTAGTTAATTCTCGGCTAGCTTCCCGGTATTTCACTTTAAGTTTCAAAATCTACTCACATCGATTGATCGATTTACAAATCAATGGCTGTTTGAAAAATTAAACAAGCATACGATAATTAATCCCGATGATATGTTACCCAAATTAGCGATCAAAAATTAATGCAATATTATTGAACTTAACAGTTTATTGATTAAACTTTAAAATATCACAAATTTTATAATTAAAAAAAGACGGATATAAATTATCCAAAAAATATGCCCAACTTTTAAAATTTTTTTTCCCCTAATTTTCACTTGAAAAGAAAAAAAACAAAAAAAAAAAAAAAAAAAAGAAAAAGCTTAGTCAATATGCTAAATAAGCATTTCTATTCGAGAAAACAAAAAGCAATCTATATCACGAAAGTTTTAGTCTTATGTCTTATAACCGGATATTTGATTATTTTCCGGTTTTTCTTATAATCGGACATATGAATAAATTTTTGATTCATCTTAAAGAAAGAATAAGACAAAATATAATGTATAGGCAAGATTATTAAAATATATGAAATGAAATTAATTTCATCGTGTATAATTTGGTAAATGAACAAAAAAGGCTCTTTAAATTTTGATATGAAAAATAATTCCTAATTTTTTTTTTTTTTTTTTTTTTACGTAAAATGATTACTTTAGTGAGATATTTAGTATCGATTTATAACAATATAAAATTGATGTTAGTTATCTTAATTTGTTAATATCTTATAAAAAATGTTGGTATCTTTATTTTTTCTTTTTATTACTAAAATAGGAATAAAATAATGCACACTTTTAAGCATATTTATATGACAGGGATGACAAATTTTTAAAAATATAATTTTTTTTTTTTTTTTGAATTTAAATATGCTTACTGCTTCCTCTTCACAATTCCATTCGAAAATGTTCATATTATCATGGAATGCTCTCATTAATTTAACTTATTAGTAAATGGAAATTTATAGGGATGGTGAAAAAATCAATTACTGGAAAGAGATTTGTTTAGGAGGAAAAAAAAGGATGTTTGATAACAGGCTTTTTTTAGAATAATAATGAATAATGATAATTGGAAATGAATGATACATGAAATTAACGATCAAAGAATCGAAATAATTGTTGTTTTCGGTTTTAATTTCGTTTGTCTTTTATTTTGATATTTTAATCTGCAAATTAATTAATCAATCAATATATATGAGCTAGATAATGAAGACAATTTAAAAAATTTGATGGAAAAAATTTTGTTTTTTTCAACAATCAATGAAATAGTAATTTTTGTATTGTTTAATTGACTTGAATGTTAACTCTTTGAAAAACACTTGATGGTAAGCCTAATTAAAATTTCATTTTGTTTTTATTTTTTTTAAAAATTAAGCTGGCAAATTATCACAAATTCATAGTAATTTAAAAAGTTGCAACCTATTGTGGCTAGTATTATAAATACTTCCCTATGCATTTGTTAACATTAAGAGGAGAAAAAGTTTCGTGTAAAGAATGAATTCAGGTAATGAATCCGGTTGATTGCACCGTTATATTTAAATTAATTTCTGAAGCTAGTCGTATACATAAATGATTGTTAGAAAGCAATAACAAAATCCTAAAATTTGTTGATAATAACATTAACAAACTACTATGATGTTACTAAACGATAATAATAATAATTAATAATAATAATAATAATAATAATAATAATAATAATAATAATAATAATAATAATAATAATAATAATAATAATAATAATAATAATAATAATAATAATAATAATAATAATAATAATAATAATAATAATAATAATAATAATAATAATAATAATAATAATAATAATAAT